AAACCCTGTCTCAAAAATGAAAAATGAAAAAAAGAGAAGAGTCTAGAACAGTGGTTTTCAGCCTTCCTATTGCTGCGATCCTTTAATACAGTTTCTAATGTGGTGAACTCCCACCAGAAAATTATTTTCGTTGCACTTCACAACTGTAATTTCACAACTGTTGTGAATCATAATGCAAATGTCTGTGTTTTCCAGTGGTCTTAAGTGACCCCGAAAGGATCAAGACCCACAGGTTGAGAACCACTGGTCTAGATTATGGGCAAGGATGTGATTTTTAATTGTTCATAGTGAAGAGACCAGGGCTGGCAAGATGTTTGCTGAGACGGTGCAGACAGTAGAAGCGTTTGCTGTGCCAGTCCACTGCCCCAAGTTTGATTCCTGGAGCCCAGGGTGGAAGGCGAGAACTGAATCCTCAAGGTTGTCCTCCGACCTCCATAAACTGGTATGGCGTGTGCCTCTTGCTCCCTAGCTCAGTAACAGTAGTTTTTAAAAGCACATGTTCACATTCTCTCCTTCATCCCACAAAACTTTATAAGGAGAAACAGAAAGGGTATAGATTTGTATGGGAGGGACGTGAGGAGAATCTCAGAGAGTGGGGAAGGGAAACCATAATCAGAATATACTGTATGAATATATATAATATATATATATACACACACATACACATACATACATATATGTATGTATTGTAATAGGAGGCTGCTTGCTTGTTCTTGGCTGCCCAGCAGCTCAGACCCAAAATAACCACTCAGAAATTATATTAATTAGAGCACTGCTTGGCCTATTAGCTTATACATATTTCTAGATAACTCTTACAGCTAGAATTAACCCATTTCCATTATTTTATATTTTACTATGTGGCCTACTGGCAAGGTTCCAGCACATCTGTCCCCGGAGGTGGCTACGTGGCTTCTCCTGATTCCGCCTTGTTTCTCCCAGCATTCAGTTTAGTTTTCCCCGCCTACCTAAGTTCTGCCCTGCTATAGGCCCAAAGAAGTTTTTTTTTAATTAATCATTGATAATCACAGCATACAGAGGGGAATCCCACATCGTGTGTGTGTGTGTGTGTGTGTGTGTGTGTGTGTGTGTGTATGTGTGTGTGTGTGCATTGGTTTTTCAAGACAGGGTTTTTCTGTATCTTTGGAGCCTGTCCTGGAACTAATTCTTTTACACCAGGCTGGCCTCGAACTCACAGAGATTGACCTCTGCCTCTCAAGTGCTAGGATTAAAGGCGTGCACCACTACCACTTGGATAAAAAAAAATATATATTTTCAATAAAAGAAAAATAGAAGGGGAAAAAGATGTTCAAGTCTCCTTTGGATATGCTGCTGCATTTCAAATGTGGGCTATGTAGCTGGAATGGAAATGACACAGAAAAGATGCTTGCTTCTACGTGTTGACAGAGTCCCGCAGCTGTTCAATCTCAAAGAAACACACAAAGGTCTATATTAATCATAAACTGCTTGGCCTATTAGCCCAGGCTTCTTATAACTTATTCTTACATCTTAAATTAGCCCACTATTCTTGTCTATGTTAGCCACATGGCTTGGTACCTTTTATCAGTGAGGCATTCTCACCTTGCTTCCTTTGTGACGAATACAGACTGACTCTTTTCTCTTCCCAGATCTTGTTCTCATCGTCCAGCCTCTACTTCCTGCCTGGTAACCCCACCTATACTTCCTGCCTGGCTACTGGCCAATCAGTGTTTTATTAAAACAATACACCATGAATGACAGGGTACAAGACCATTGTTCCACAGCATCTATGTGTTCACTGTCTAGTCCTCCAAGGATGAATACTGTAGGCTGTGTTCTGGGTTTTCTGGCTTGAATTATCACATTGTATAGACTGCAGATTGTATTTTAATTTAGTGTGAAGGAGGAGCTTACCTTAAACATTTCTGGTTTCAAGTAGGTACTTTGTGTAAGAGGGTAGAGGTTGTGTGCAGGTTTTTCTTTCAATTGTCCCTATCTAACTGCTGTGCTCTAGGACACAACTCTCAATCAGTACTCACACACACACACACACACACACCGACACATACACAGACACACACGCATGCACACACATATGCATGCACACACACACACAGACACATACACAAGGTGGCTATCTCTGGGGTCCCTCCGTCTCTTTGACAGGTCTTCCTTTCCAAGGCATTTTCCAAGCAAGGAGACCATTTTTCTCCTTTTTTCATGATTCAGTTTCCCTTTTCTCATTGTCTTGTTCAAAGTGAAAAATATTCTCTCGGCCCTGCTTTCCCTTGTACGGTTGGCAGGACAAGAAACACAGTGGCATTTGGCTTTGTGTGCAGACATCTGTGTCAAGTGCAATGCCGTTCATCTTCACTCCAACTTCTTCCTAGAGTCATGGTGGGATGGGTGACAGTTTTAAAATGAGCTCATTCTCATCCGTGAATGGGCAGCTTTGGATTTTTGTAGTTTCAATGAATACATTAATGGCTTCTTCTTTCTTCTGTCAGAATTCTGGTAGTCCCTTTTGTTCAATGATACACACTTCCCCTAGAGCTTGAGGACGGAAGGGGGAGATGTGTGTATGTGGTTTCATGTGGTGAAACTGATAGCCTTTCCATAGCCAACAGCCAATATCTAGGTGATAATCAAGCTGGGGCTCACACAGCTGAACGCTCATATGAAATAACTGAGACAGATATCAGAAGAATGCTTCAGTTTCGGCTCCCTGATTATGAGAGAAAGATAGTTTTATAGTAGCCTGTGAGGACCCAAGGAATCGAGCAGCACTGGCCTCATCGCTATTCCTTGGAGAGGCCACCTGGCTGTATCTGAGGGCTTCCTCTTATTGCTAGGATTCTCTGTGCCCCCTTAATGCCTAGTTATCATTACCACCTTCAAATCTGTGCATAGCAGTTACCTTCTTAATGACGCGATCCCGAATCCTTTCCCTCTTATTTTCTGTTTTGTTTTCATTTTCCCATAGAAGTCAATTAATATAAAACAGTTAAATAATGATGCTTAAACAATTCACTTCTTGCATTAATTATCACCTGCTTTCCTTGACAGACTGTGAACCTAATGATATATTCCAGGGGTGGGGAGTGGATACTGCGATCCATCAGTAAATATTTGTTAAAGTAGATGCATGCAGTATGGGGGTACTGTCAGCATTGCCTGTGTGAACCGTTCCTTACCATTGTCTCCTCTCCTCTTATAAAGTCTTCTTTTTCATGTGGAATAACTTATCCCGTGTGAGTGCTTCCCCCAGAGCATGTCCTCTCTCCCAGGACCCCGTCATGTGCCTTTGTTTTTACACCTGGCATTTGCACTGCACCGTGAAAGCAGCTGATATTCATCTGTTACAGAAGAAACACGGGGTGGGCAGCATTGAAGACAATGGAATTTATTATCAGTTTCCTAGGCAAGTGTCTCGCGTTGCTTTCTGCGGTATCACAGCCTAAGCGACCTAGAAAGAAAAGAGGTTTGTTTGGACTTGTGGGTCAGAATTGCCAAGGCTAAAGGTCCTTATCTAGGATTAACTTCTTTCTTACAGAATCTCAAAGTGGTGCAGGACAGGGTGAATCCAATGTGTGTCTTCTGGTCTTTCTCCCTTTTCTGGTAACGCCCCCTGGTGTTCAGCCAAGGGTGCTTCCTCCTCATGACTTTAAAACATCTCTGAACACCCCAGCTAGATGAGGTTGCCACCCTCTTAAAACCTAAAGAAGAGGATTTAGTTCAACATTAGTTTTGGAGGAGCCGAATGATACTTGAACAATAGCAATCAGTGACTTATTTCATACTTCTAGTCTTAATGTTCATCTAAAGTAGATACTATGGCCACAGTTCAGGGTAACTTGCAATGTCCCTCCAGGTCATCAGCATGTGTTAATGACACCTGGGCAGATATCTGGAAATACTAACACTTAACTTTTATCTTAATAGCCTGAATAAAATTATCTTTAGTACCAATGTGGAGAAACTGCTTACTGGACAGCGTAAGGACAACCCCCACCCCTCACCCCCCTCCACTCCTGCTTCTTGAAACCTTGGTTGATTTTAAATGCAGCCTTCCTTGCCTTTACTCTCAAGGAGGTCGCGATGACCCTCTTCCATTCTGCTGTTTTGTTTTTCTATTCCGCTTCCCACCCTTTTATGCTTGTGGTTTGTCTCTTCACTGTGGTGTTAAATTCCATGAAAGGTTAAGTGAGCTTCCTCTGGCTCCCAAAACAAAGGACCACCCATTTGACTGCAGAAAATGACAGAGGCCTATTCTCTCACAGTTCTGGAGGACTTGAGTTTTTAGTTCTGAGTCCTTGCAGAAGAAGCTTGGGGAGAGCATTCTTCCTTGTCTCTTCCAGACTTTAGATGCGGCTGAATTCCCTGTTGTTACCAGACTTGTAGACTCACCTTTCTATTTCTGTCTTGATTTTCAGATGACCTTTTCCCCTCTGCATCTGCATTTTTTGTGTCTTCTCTTAGGAAGAGCTGGCATCTCAGTATGCTGATTTATATCTATAATTTTAGCATTCAAAGGGCTTGAGGCAGGAGGATTGCTATAAGTTGGAAACCAGCCTAGGTAAAAGTGATGAGACTGTCTCAAAAAACACAAAACTTTCAATGAATTTATGATTCATCCTAATCCAGGTAGGTCCTGTGTCAAAACACTTTGGATTATGTCTCTAGAAACCCCTTTTTTGTTCAAACGGGGTCATCCTTATAGACTCCTGGAAGATGTATCTTTTAGTAGGCCAGGAACCCACTGTAGGCTTTAACTACAAACCAATCACTTATTCCCAGTAGGTAGAAAGGCTTCTAGAAGATAGGGTGGTACTCAATAAACAAAGGGAAAGAGGGAGACCTCCTGGCAAACAGTAGATAAAATGATAATGTGGCTGTGAGAACCTTAGTAGTTGAGGAAGAATACAATTTTCAAGGTATGAAAAGGCAAATGTCTTTTTTTTTTTAAGGTAAGTCATTTTTTGATGCTTGACTCCTTCAGCTTATCTCTTTCTTGTTCCTTCTAGTTTTGGTTTTGAAGGATGAGGCCCATCAAGAATATCCAATGAGAGTCAGTGGTCAAGGAAGACTGTGGGTGGGGGACCACAATAATTACATAAGGTGAGTTGCACAGACAAAGAAAAAATGGAAACACATGAAGAGGAACTGGGTTTGGATTACCCTCTCCCTACCTGCTGCAAGCCTGTGCGTGGCTTGTCCTAGGCACACAAAGCAACCCGAGTCTTGGAAGCCTGTGTCTGTCGAGGGTGTCGTCTCAGTTGTAAGACTGACACTAACTAAGTGACGCTGAATGCCCCTCCTCTGCACATAGCTGAGGGCTGATACCATATGGTGGAGCCCAGGTGCCAAATTCAGAGAAAAGATTCTCGTGGGGCCTTGATGAGAATGGCGGCTCAAGCTGTCCCTGGAAGGGTCCTTAAGATGGAGCTGTATGAAGGCTTTCTTCATTGAAGAGAGACAGAAAGACGAGATATAAATGACACACTCACAGGTTTGCCAGGGGACAGGTCAGTCTAATGGTTAGGGAGAGAAAGGGTGTGTAAGGGAATGAAGGAAAAAGATCGCTGAATTCATTTTAGAATTCGTTTTTATCGCAAGTCCTTCCTCACCACTGAACAAGCTCTGCCAGGCAGCGCAACAGTGGCTGCCTGCACCCGGTCCGAGCAGAGGCCCCCACTATTTTGCCTTTGGTTAATGCCAGGCCCACAGAGGCTACAGCAGCTGTTCCTTTCCCAGCATTTTCTCCCCTTTCTCCACAAGTCACAACACAGACAGATCACATCCTACTTTTTTATTCTGCGTCTATTTTTCTCAAGTTGGTTTTTCTCCTCTCGAATATCTCTTTTATTAAATGCTGTTGTGAAACCATTCCTATTTCTTGTCATATTAGATTTTGCTTCTTGTAAGTATCTGGCCTCAATTCAAGTCTAGTTCTGGAAATTTCCATAAGGCTTTAATGCTCTTTAAAACAGAATTATCACTGTTTGTGGCCGATTCAGTGGTATCATATTCAAAGTGGAAAAAAAAAAAAAAAAGAAAGTATTGTTTTCCTAACTCTGAAGGCATCGCTGGAATTAGTTTAATGACAGCTCTTTACCCTGTGCTTCAGAAGCTGTTGTTCAGTTCTGGATTAATTATTTGAGCAGCGGAGTAGAGAACATTTCAAAGAATTATCTTGAACAAGTGGCACATCTTTAGATTTACTTGTTATTCCAAATGTCCTTGAAACTTCAAAAGAACCTGAAGTAGGACTGTCAGGATTCTTAAACCAAGACTGAAGTATAAGAGCTAATTAGAAAGATATCTGGGGACTGTATCTGGGATTTATGCTTATGATGTTAAATGTCGTCTCAGTGGCAAGCCCAAACAAAGCATGGTAAAATAAAAATATGGATCTGAATTGATAAGAGGGAAAACAAACTTAAGCAAAACCTTTCATCTGGGAGAACTAGGTTTCCAGTCTGACACTAATTTGCTGTCTAATTCAAGAAACACTGAATGATACAGCAGTGTTTTACTAATGATGCAGAAATATCCATTTAGTTGTTTAGCGGTCAGTGATCAGTAAAAATCAAGGGTGTGACATTAAATCCCATGTTGTATGGTTTCATATTGAAAGAGGAGAATAGCATTCAATAAAAGTTGTAGTGGAGTGTTAGTTACTAATCAAATATTAATTCTCCAATTAAGAAAAAAATAACAAGAGAACAGTGCACCCGATGAAAGGCAGGAAACTCTCCCGTGGAGTTGTATACCTTGCAATAAGGTATGGTTGTGTTAGTGAGTGACCTGGACCAGCAGCTCTTCTTCAGTGACTGGCTCCAAGGGGGAGGGCCCAGGATGAGAAGAATAATAAAGACGGAAAAGTTGGGGTCAGGAGGTCTGCATGAGCTGATGACTCAGGCCAGCAAGTTTATTAAGAAGTACATCATCTTATAGACTGTGTGCAGGGCAAAAATGGGACAAACTCAGCAGAGAGCTGTCACGAAATGGGAACAGAGTTAACAGGAAACCGCTCAAGCAATGTTGTACCAAGAGAACTCAGGACGTCTCAAGTATGTCACAGACGAAGCACACAGTGGCCTTGGGTCTCATAACAACAGCCCCTTGTGGGTGGACAGAGTCAGGTTCCTAGGAAAACCTCAGCTCTTCTGAGACCCTGGCCCTGGGCCATTGTTGGCCTCATCAAGCATATTCCTGGTTTTAGAGAAGGAATAATGTTCCTTCTGTATACTTTAGGGCCTCAGGGAAAGCCCCAGACCAGCCTGGCCTCCAGGGAGTGCGCTCAGGTTCCAGACATATTAAGTCAGAGTTACTTCCAGGAAGGAAGTCTCCCTAGAGGTGGGACACATTCTTCCTTCATTTTGATCAATAGTCATTCAGGTCACAAGATCACTCTGAGATCAGACGACAGGAGTCTTGGGGTTATAGGAGGCTTCTGAGGCTGTTGTTGTTGTTGTATGCCCTCACAATGTGAGATTTTTTTTTTAACAAAACCTACATCTGACTTCATTCTAAAAAAAGAAATAAAGATTCATTTATGTGAATTGAGTCTTTTTGTTAGTAGCCGTGTTATATTACTAATAGAAACATATACTTAAGGAGGTCCAATAGCATTTCAAAGGTTTGTTTCTGAGTCAACTGAACTCCCCTTTGGGTCATATATCACAGATTTAGAACATTTAAGGACCTTACAGAGGCCATAAGAATATTTAAGTGCCTAAAAATTTGAAACCAATCCATATCAGTTAGAGCTCAAACTCTCAGCTAGGGAGTGGTAGTACACAGCTTTAATCCCAGCACTCGGGAGACAGAGGCAGCTGGATCTCTGTGAGTTCAAGGCCAGACTGGTCTATAAGAGCTAGTTTCCAGGACAGGCTCCAAAGCTACAGAGAAACCCTGTCTTGAAACACACACACACACACACACACACACACACACACACAAACACAGACACACACACACACACACACACAGACACACACACACAGACACACACACAGACACACATACACACTAAAACTCTTCTAAGGAACTGGAGAGATGGCTCAGAGGTTAAGAGCACTGACTACTCTTCCAGAGGTCCTAAGTTCAATTCTCACAAACATCTATAATGAGACCTGGTACACTCTTTGGGCTTGTGGGCATATATTCAGGCATAATATTGTATAAATAATAAATAGATTTTTTTTAAAAAAAAAAGAGCTCAAACTCTCAAGTCTATTGTACTCTATCTTCTAGTGTGAGCCTGGCCAGCTCTTGTTCATGGTGTTGCTCCGCCCTCCCTCCCGCCTGACTCAGGGCAGGACAGGCAGTGAGCCACCAGTGCTGGAGCTCCCTACCCGCTGGAATCTGTTGTTTTCCCTTCCTTAAAACTCTTTGATTACTTTTCATCACCTTCCTGATGGGGCCCAAAGTTCCAGTCACCTGGTGATGTGCTCTCCAATTTCCTGTTCCGAGTTTCTCCCCACATCTGCTCTCCATCTTCCCATAGAAAACATTTTCCTTTTGAGACATTCTTTCCGCATCCAGTCAATTTCAGGCCACTCTGGCCAGCCGTATCATAGCCCTGGAACACATTTTTAAGAGCATGTTGGTTATTTTTTGGAAACAACTTTTAGAAATAATTTATTCATTGACAATTTTACCTATGTCTATAACGTGTTCTGGTCACACTCACCCCTCCATTACCTCGTCTTCCTCCTGTCAACAACCTGCCTCTACCCATCAAGCCCCCATCTTGCCTTTACTACGTCTTTTTATTTGTTTTTGTCTTTGCTTTGTGAACCACAGGAGTTTAATGAGTGTGGAGCTCTCCTCTAGAGCTCATATAACTCACCAGAAGCTAAACCACTGAAGACAAGGACTTTCCCTCTCCCATCAGCCATTCACTGCCAATAGTCCCCGCACACACAGGGTAGGGCCCCATGAATTTTTTCTCAATTCATTACTTTTTTTTTTTAAATCAGTCTTATGTAGACCCTGTGTAGGCAACCACAGCAGCTGTGAGCTTGTGAGTGCCAGGATCACCAGCCTTGTGCTGAGTTTGACTCACATTGCTCATTTCTAATGCCTGAGCCCCATATCCCCAAACCCCTACCACTCCTATAAAGTTGCCAGTGTAAGCTTTTATTTTCTCCTCTTCTCTCATTGTCTCTAGGGAGTTTAGCAGAGAACTGTGACTTCTCTTGACAGCGGACAATATTTATCATTTAAGGGTGTCACTCAACAACCTTGGGCTCTACCCCTAGTTGCTTGTCCCCAGCTGAGCTGGCAGAATTACTCTGTCTTCAGTCTCCAAAGGATTTGTTTCCTCGGTTTATAGATAACACACACTGTCATCTTTTGTCCACCATAGAACACCTTGATTGGTTACCTCCATGCTAGAGAAAAGACCAAAAGTTCTCACTAATTCTCTAATCCTTTTAATTAAACAATCTGGAGACGCTCTGAATTTAGTCTGTGTTGTGCTGAGAAAGGGCACCAGTTTTCAGGGCATTCAAGTGTCCAGAGATCCTCCCCACCATGCCCTCTAGTATATAAAAGCTTTATCTCTTGCTAGATGCCACAGCCTGGTGAGCTTGTTCTACTTCTAAAATGAAATGAGCTCCAGGGGCTTGTACTCTCAGTAATTTTGGTGTTTTCTTCTGGGTGGATAATTTCCAAATCTGTCTCTCTGACTTGGGTGTCAAACTTCTCGCTCTTACCACACTGTCTACTAAACGTTTTCACTAAGATATCCTGCTGGGGCTTACAAGTTAATATCAAATATCAAACTCTCAGTTTTCATGTCAGGAATGGACTGACTTTCAGAGCGATGTGGATCTGCTGGCAATGCCATCTTGGTCATGATTATTCAGGTTTCTTCAACAGGGTCTTCCTCATTCACAAGTTAGCTAGTGGAGATTTTAATTAATTGAATTAATTTAATTCAGTGAATGAACTGAATATTCAAAGCTCTCTACAGGTTGGTCTAAATGTCTTTTCAATGTTATGTTTCATTATCTGCTTCCCCCTCCACCTCAACTGGATTCCTCACTGTATTTAGGTGTGTGGTAACTGCTATAGAGATGGTGTCTTCAGCACATTCTTGAAGGAAC